CCCTTTCTCTCGAAATGAAACGAATGGTGACACAACAATAATGGCATGATATATCGGTAAACTGCGAATGCTTACGCATTTATAGAAAACCTCAAGGCAAAAAAAAATGCACATAATGCGACAAACGTGTAAAAATTGTATAGAATATAAAATCTCTTTCCAAACCGAAGGAAACAAATATTCTTTCTCTTTTTTGAGAACCAAACAAAATGCTAGATAGAAAATTTTATGCGATAAGAGCACAGTACTCGTTATAGTATTCGACGAGTGAAACGAATCTCTGCTTAGATCCCATTGCTTTAGACGTGTTCGTAAGTATATCAGTTTGCATAAACTGCATAAACTGCATAAACACCCTATTTTCCCCTTCTTTTTATTTTTTTCAATTTTCACGGGAACGGCGACAGGAACAACGCGACAGAAATATTCGCTGATCGTGAAAAATAGTCATGATTCGGCAGAAATTGAAAATTGAACACGCACCGGCGATTCGCCAGTTACAAAAGTTGATGAGAATATCGCGATGTCATTGCGCGCCGAATTCCTTTAGAAATGAAATCACGGCGCGAGTGACACGCTTGTGTAAAGAAATCGTAATTTCCAGCGATGTAATTAATGAAAACAGTTCCCGTTCAACGAAAAATCGATCTTTCGCCTCTGTCGTGCTCGAAATACACATGGAAACGTGGTTCGACTGTTACCCTCCCCCCCCGGGATTCAACAACGAACAATTTACAAATAGTTGCGTTTGCTTCGTAACCAGCGATGCTTGTACCGCGCTCGCACCGTCACGTGACAATTAGGCTGATTGTGAGAGACAGAAACTGCGCGAATACTAATGCTGTAACAAGATAGCTAGACAACATTGCGAACTAGGGATTTGACAACGTTCGCAAAGTTTCCGCTGTTACGAACACGTGTTACCATCGAACGATGTTGAGATACCATAAATATAACTGGTTTCGTGAAAATCCATTTACTTTACGTAAAACCAAGCTTTCTCGCCTTTTTCATAGTCATCGTCTTATTAAAAAATACCGATTCGTCACTGGTAGATATCCACGTTTATACCATTAGATGCTTCATTATATTTATTATCCGTAAATTTTCACCAAATTGCTATGAATCTCCTATTTAATTCGTTTAATTAATTACCAGATTAATTACCACGTTCTGCATTAGCAGATGTCGTAATACTTATCAACGAGTGTGTATGTCGTTATATTGATGGATATTCAATCGTTTTCCTAATAATCTCGGATAATTATCACATCTTCTGTGTACATCTTTATACGTACACATACTTACCATACACGTAACAACGGATCTGAACAACGGCAACTGGCAACGTGCAGAACTTAGCATTCGTACGCACTTCAAACTTCTAACTCCGTATCGTTGAACCAGTACGTCATATTATAACCAAAACATACCATTAGACATACGGCGTAACGCTTCTTGAACTAGTTTTTAACAAGGAAACTGGTTACTAAAAATGTGCTGGGTAAAAATGTCGCAATGCGACGTGGCTTGCAGATGCGTCTAGGACACACATACAGATGCAGCCATCCAACACGAGCATACAAATCACAGAACGTAGCACCCGTGGCGAAAGAACGTTTGAAGACTTCCGGCCGTGATACGCGCGAGTGCGTCGCAATTATGCAAAGTGTTACGAGTCGCTGGGATTGCTCAACTTTTAGGATTAAAAAAACCAGAGGGTCGAGAGGCAGGGGCCGATAATTAAAAGGCGTTCCTTGACGCAAACGTAACGTCACGAATTTGAAATTCCACGTGAGACGCGCTCGTAAACGTTGTATCGCAGAGGCGCGCGGTGCGTGTCGAGAAGCATTAATTAACGTCAGGATCGGTGCATCACATTTGACATCGTTGGGAGACTGGACCGCCGTTTGTACACGCGCTATCTGTCTCCTTCGCGCGGCTTCACGGTGCCTGGGACGCGCCACTGTACACCCATTACGAACGGCCGCGTTGCTAATGGAACGGAACAGCGGAAAAACAAAGAGAGACAGATTTATCGGCAATACCCGTTAGCCCAGAGCAAACCGAATTTCTACTACGCTAATTAAATAAACCCAATCAACTTTTCCTATTTCTAAATATACTCGTCCCTCCGCCCTCGTGGTACGGTCGAACCACCACTGTCAGACTACTGCAACTTCTGTTCGAAAATGTCGCGAAAATCTTTCTGTAAATCGACCTGTAAATTTTCTCGTTGCTCGTGTTTAGGTGCGTTATTTTAGTTCTGTGACTCGAGTTCGAAGAAAACTGCGTAAGTCGATACATATTTATATGTACACTGTGTTCACCACTGTGAAACCACCTTACGAGATTTCTACACGTACGAGACGCGAGATACAAAGGGACAAGATACGATTAGAAGTATGGGGAGTGGAATTGTCGAACCGATTGAAAATAAGAGAGAAAGCCGTGCATTGTTCGTGGTTACAATTTCATTTTATTGTACTTTCGATAAAATAGAATAAACTATTCCGTTATATTGGATCTGCGGATATGAGGCAAGAAATAAACTAGCTTTTCCCAGCGAATATAATTCAGTGTTACCTGGAGACGTTGCTGGTCGATATGATTTCAAACACTTCGTTTCTTATCACATTTTCACATTTCCTAACCAATCGCGTATTCACGTCGACGTACTTCTATCGAGTCACGCTATGATACAAAAGAAAAGGTTTTATACGTTGAAATCGAAGAAAACCGAGTGAAACAGAATACCTAAGTAAGGCGAAACCTTTACAGCCCTGGAATTCCATCTCTTCCCGTAAGATTCCAATGATAAATGTCACGGAAAAATGAATTCCAATTTGTTATTATTTCGTAGCAGAACAGCCAGCGAAATATGCGTCTGAATTTTGATTGGGCAAAGTTTTTCGCAGAAAATCCCTCGTGACAACGATATCGAATCGGACAGCGCGTCTAGTGAAAGACGCGTGTAGTCGCATGGCGCGGTAACAAAAGAGCGATACGAGACTCGGGACAAAACGCGAAAAGCCTTTGCAAAAAGGGAGACGAGAGGGCCGAACAACGGAGAACAACAACGAAACAGACGGAGAATTTATAGTGTTTGTAGATATAGCCGCAATACGCGTATTCCACGGTCGGTTACAATGCCACGATAGAGGCAACCGGCACCCGTACAGCCGATCACGTGTCTGGCTTGTACCGCAATCGGGCTCATTGTCTGCCGACAAGAGTGGCGTGGATACAAAGCTGAGTTACTCGCTGCATGTAGCTAGGTAGCGAGCGGGTGCAGCCGTCATTGCGGTTCGATGCAACTAGACAATCTAGTGTAAATAGGGGTACGGCGGCGCGGGTATGTTGTTACGTGCCGATCTCCTGTTGCAGATCCTCGAAATCATGAGGCAGATTCGATGATACGAAGCCGAGATTGAAATTGTCCAGCTAATACGATTACGGAACACTGCGTGAGAGCTGGCTAATAGCCGCGCGTCGATGCTCCGTGTGATGGACGTGATTGACTGTTTGAGTTTTAAGCCGATTGTCCGAAAACGATTCTTCCGTAATCTGACCATTCCGATTTCATGCCACCGTGACTGTGGAAATGGTAAAAGCAAAGATCGTGAACGGCAACAAATGACAGTTATTAGAAAATGTCAGCAGACAATGTTTTCGATTTACGATACTAGCGTCGCGACTCGAAATATCGCTGACAATACGACATGTGATATTCGCGGCGACAGAAGTCACGACTAGACGGATATTTATGCTCTTATGGCAAGTTTAAAGTTACGGAAAATGTACAGGAAAAGTTTCGTCTAAATAGAAGTCATCCAGGGCCATTCGCGGTGTTTCCTTGTAAATTAATGGGAACAGCCAAAGGCTTCTCGATAGGATCGCACATAAATCGATATTTGGTCGTGAGATAACTTTTTACGTCGCCGATGTTTTTGTGGCTGTCGTTGTTCATTAAATTCGAGGCACGAGGGGATGACACCTCCTTTAAAACGCTTTCGATGTTAAAGTCTGAAAGAAAGGTTGTCGCTCTCGGCTACTTCGTCGCGTTACTACAACTTTCTTGTTAGCGAAGTTTGGAAATATACTGTCGTCGAGTGTCTTCAACGTGGCTACGTAGCGGTGCGCCAACTTCGATCGAGAAAACTTCGCGACTGAGCTTCTCGCACTTTGGTCAAAGGTATCTGTCTATCGCGTCAAAGAAAATCTGACCGGAATACTCGTTAACGGGTCCCGGGCGTTTCCTCTCCGCTTGCTTCACAGAAAGTCAATAGCAAAACAAAACACAGACCGAACGTTCGTACGAAACGTTGTTTCGTTTGAAGATCATCCATCGTAAACGCTCGTGTAAGTACGTTTCGTTTAACTACGCAGACGAACGTGGATCAGGATTAACGTAGAATAGGATTTAAACGACGACCCAACAGATATCGAGCGAAGAGCATTTGTTACGTGACTCGTAAAACTTGTCGAATTCGTGCTCCGACTTGGTGAAACGTATATTACTATCTCTATAGTCTATTTTTTAATCGATTGGGAGGCTACACCTTCAGACGTTTAAGCATAAATAAAATTTGGCAACTTTTCTTACAAGTAGTTGCAAGATCTCTGGACTTGACATTCTATTTTACTCGATTTTCTCAATTTCTTTGTTCGCAAGTGGAATCCCTTTTGAAAGCTTCGAGAAACTTAAAACGATACATAAACGTACAAGACTTATGTATCTTGTTAATGAGAAAATCTTCGTGAAATAATAAGATAAATGAAAAGGACTTTCGTACGATATTCCACACCTCTGGAATATTAAAAATACTGTTTAAAAGATTTCGATTTTTCGGTGCCTCCTTAATTGAAAAGTCTTTGTCAGGCGAAAAGATAAAAGGAAAGCTTACGTATGTCGCGAGTTTTTTCGCCAAGTACAAACGCGTTCTTTTGTAACCGGTAATCCTCCTTTTGTTCACTCGCTTCTCGTTTTTCCGTTTCAGTATAACATAAAGAAGCGAGAAGAAGTACAAGAAATGACCCAAGAAGAGCCGAATCCTTTGATGCGCAAGAAGAAGACGCCAGAGGAATTGGCTGCAGAAGCCGAGGCGGAAGACGAGGACGAGATTACAAGTATGTACACGAGTCAATTGCATTCGCTCATCACACTCTGTACACACGACCCTTCGCGAAGAGGTTGGCCAGGGAAACCATGGCCATGGAACGGGGTTAAGAACGAGAAGCTACAAATTCACGGTACACGTTCACCGAGTGGAGCTGCCTGACGAATTAATGCAGTGGCGCTCAGACACGGCAAGGGATGATCGATGAAGGGTTAACGAGCCTTGGCTAGAAATCAAACAACTGTAATCCTCCACTCGGTTTCTGAGTAAATTCAACAGAAGCCGGTCGCATGCCACGATCCTCGTTCAGTTTCACGGCGAAATCGATGTCTCGTAATTGAGAGAGCTTGAAAAACTGCCAGCCAACTTTCAGCTGTGTAGTCGTTCATTTGCGTTTTTCCATTCTTTTGTAACTAAACTGGGACACTGTAGCGCACGCATACTCATTTATACACGGGGCTGAATAAAATACAGAGAATATCGGAAATCGTAGTACAATGCCAAGAGGATACCTCGTGAAACTGTACACCCTCGCACTATCAAAAATCTTACGATAATTATTATACCTGTTTCGCGATTGGACAAATGTCAATGATAGTAAAACGATGCGATGGAGTATCGTTTAACTTGGTATTTCGTGTAACGAAAGTAAAAAGTAACTGGCGTACAGTTGCGGATGAAAGAAAGTTTAAAAACGATACACCGTGAATTGTAGAAACTTTTTTATTAAAGATTTTTTTATCGTATTGGTAATAGTCATTTATTCTATGATATACATATTGTACTTATTCGTTGTTGTTTTATGGTGTCGTTCCATATTTCTTATTTTCTAAACTTTCTTCTATTCTCCGCTGTATAAAACGCAAAACTACAAGCTAACGTAAAGTCTATAATTCATATGCAATACTCAAATTTTATTAAACATAAAAAGCGTATCCACGAAACGTAAAGCGGCAGACTTTGAAATTCTACTCACGAAGTACGAATAAGATAGAGAGATTCGTCATCTGATTTAACGATATGAGTATACTTGTAGCGTAAAGTGAAATCGTTTACAACTTGAAAGACAAGCCTGGAACGACATCTTTGTGCGTGAACTCTTTTCATCGCTTTCATTGATATCTAGAACGAATCCTACAAATATCCGCCACGTATCTTGCGACACGCTATATATACAATATAATACATGAACGTTCGTTTGTTCCAGAAATCAAGAACGCGTTAGACACGCATATACAAGAGATCAAAGCGCAAGTACTGGAAGGTAAATGCGATCTCCAATAAGCCTACCTACACCCTTGAAGCGGTCGGTAAGGAGGGTGGTGCATCATGTGCTACCAGAGCCGCATCCGCCTCTCAGCCCCTACGACATCACGAGGAAGAGAACGAGCGAGATCTGACGTGTTATTGGAGAAGCGAAAGAAAAGAGCGATACGGAAACTCACTACCAGCGTCGTCGTCGTTGCCGTCGTAATCGTCGTCGTCGTGTTGTTCGAGCGTAGATCGATTCGGGATTCGAATTGGCCAGTCGTCCCTTAGAGAGCGTCGAGAGAAGCGACAATCGCTCGAGACACCGCAACCAACGCCCATCGCCCGTCCTCGGTCCTCCAACGACCATCGAATTAGATTTTCTACGAGGGTACGCGCGGAACGATCTTCAGAAACGAGCGCATCGACCAAACAAGAGAAGAGTTACGAGCTTCGATCAACATTGCCATCGTGTGAGAAGGACGTGTCATCGTTGAGAACGAGTGGATGGAACGAGACGAATTCAACGGATTAAATTCGAGAGATCATCGTCGATAGCGTTGTTAATTGACTCGAGTGATCTTGGAAATTGAAGGCAGAATTGAAGCAAGAAGCAAATCGAGACGATCTAGAGATTCGAAGCTCGGCGAGGATCTAGGATGTCGATGGTGAAGCGACGAATCCAGAGGAATTTCAGAATCGATACAAACGAAGAGGATCTACTAGAGGCATTACGCATGAAAATTCATAGGGAAAAGAAACGAGGAAGACGGGGACGATGTTAAACGAGGACGATGACGGGATAAAGAAAACTGCGGCAGACGTGAGAACGTAGGAAGTACGAGATCGGCGAGAGTTCGTTTACGCCTTACGATTCGAAGAAGGAAGAAGGACAGAGACGATCGAAGTTAAGAAAAGGAGAAAATGCAAGGTATAAGATCCGTGAGAATTCGTATATGCGTTACGACTCGAAGAAAGAAAATGAAATATCGGAAAGAAATCTCGGCAAGAAATAAGATGGAACGTAAAAAACAGAGAGAGAGAGAGAGAGAGAGAGAGAGAGAGAAGAAGAGAAAGGAAAATGATTGGATCGATCAAAGTCTCTTCGGATATCGCACGAATATCATGGCGTAAATGAGACGTGAGGAGTCGAAGGGCGCGTGCATATAAATATACCTATATATATATATAAATATAAATAAAGAAATATATTATATATATATAAATAAGAAAAATGAAAGAAGTAAAAAAAAAGACGTAAAAACTTAGTACCTAAGTTTCTAGTGAATTTTTCGAATAGTGGTAAAAAAAAAAAGGAAACTACCGGTAGCAGAGTTACGTAGTCACTAGTTCGTTCGACGGCTGTTCAATAACAAGGAGATCAGAAAGGAGGGAGTCATTATTATTATTCGAGTTATTAATTATTCTCATAGTTTATTACCGCGGTCATTGTTCTTATTATTGTTGCCATTAAATGTTTATATTTAGAAACAAGTTAAGACAAGGATCGAGGGCCACGAGAAACTAGAGTCAAGAGACCAAGAGCTGAACGCAAGACGGAGATGGATTGCTGAGAGAGAGAGAAACGAAGAGAAAAAAAAGAATTAACATAGGAAACGAGTAATGAGAAAAAACAAGAGTAACCGGCGGCCCTTGCTCTCCCTTCCGTCCAAATTCGAATTTTTTCCGATTACCTCTCGGCGATATAGCTCGATCGCGATCGATCCGTAGCGAAACGCGTAACACCTGAGCGATTCTTAGGGACAATTAGTTAGCAGACACATTGCCGACAAAAGTGACGAAAAAATATAAAGTGGTTATTAGACCAAAAAAAAGAAAAAAAAAGAAAAAACGGAAAAAATCGACAAAACGAGAAAACATTTTAACATGTGCGCTTCGTTAAGAATAGCTCGACGAATCGAGCAGCACTGACTCTCGCGTTTAAATGCAAACAAATAAGAAAAAAAAGAAAAAAAAAGTACTAAAGAAATGCCTTTCTTTCACGTTTATACGGTGCGTTTCTATCGAGTGTAATTATATAGTAGGTTAATTGTTAGAGAAAGGAAGAGAAAACTGATTTATATGTTCGCTCGTGAACGATCTTAGAACATGATAGAGAAGTGTCGCGATTCGACGATCGAGACTGTTCTTAGCAAGGAGTTTTCAGGTGTTACCGCCGGAAACGTTCGAGCAAAGTAGCCATTGTTTCATCCTTTCTCGAAGCGGTTCACCGGTCTTTCATCGTGCTTGTTCGTCCGCGACAAACACGTTGTGCATGATGGACGACGCGTAAACGATGATGGACGGGATGGACAGAGCATCGACTGCCGGCAAGTAACGCGAGCCTTATACATATACAGAATTAACAAGAAACTAAAAAATGCTCACGCACGATACCATTGCGATATACTTAGAGACTAATTGGAAACAGGGGGAGGAAAAGTATAAAGGAAACATTTCGTCGAGCAAGCAAACGTTTCTTGTTCCTTCGATCGGAAGATCTACGTTTAATGAAGAGACTGAGAGGATAACTCTGTTTAAATTAAAATGTATCTTGTAACATAGATTCTTGCGTATATGTCGTAAAACGTTCTGAGTTGGTATATGTATAGGGCGGATAATGCCAGACGAAGCTGCGACGGAGAATGAAAGCACGAAGAGGAAGAACGTGCCATTTAACGCGTGACGCCGTTTTTTTGTATGAGTGACGAGATGATACGAAAGTGTACTTTTTTTATGTTCGATATCGTTCCTCGTTCTGGTACCGATCTATATATTCTTATACATCTTCTTCTTATCTATCGAGTCTTCTCAAAATCTCTCAATTGATTCTGACTCTGAAGCAACAGCTATCCTCTGATTTCTTTGCGAATTCGCGATATATTCTCCTAACACGCGCTCTATCATACTTGATCACTCGGATTAGGAAAACATTTCTCGACGATATGCCGCGATACACGCGAGGAAAGATCCATCGGGTGTCGGGAAAAAAAAGAATTCCAATTGCTCGGACGAAGAGAAATTAGAAAGAAGCAGATGAAGCAGGATCCGACGGGAGAAGAGAAAAGATTGGAAAAAGCTTTCCTCGTCTCATCGAGATAAGCGTGTTACATCTAGGACCGCGTCCCAGTTGAAAAAGAAAAGGCAACTTAAACGTCAGTCGAAAATGAGAAGTCGGAAGGCCTTCTGTCCAAACGTTTTGCTATAGAGACGAACGCATGTCAGCTTTCTATGTGCACTCTGCTGTTTCTCGATGTATAAACGTAACGCGGCTCTTCTAGTCGACGATTATCAGTCGTTCCGCAAGCACGTTCGCGGATCTTTCCCGTTTGCCAAACTCCGCGACGCAAATTCGACCATCGAAAAGGCCAGCACGCCAGCCTTAACTTTGCCAGAAACTTTCCTCGAAATTCGATAATATCGTCGATACTTTTTCGAACTTCGAATCTCGGGTGAATGGAAGCAAAGAATAATTTACGATATTAAAAATTCCCAAACTTTTAACGCCCCGTTATTTTATCCGGCGGCATACTGCCTCGGCAACTATATAATTATTTACGAATAACGACGCAAATCGGTAGTGTCGTTATCGATTTTCCTCGAACCAAGCGATTCTCCGATCGCTAAATTCTCCAAACGAGCACGAAAGAACTAATCGCGACGGGAAGAAATTCAACGAACAGCTTCCTTGCTCGCTGTCCGAACTTTTGGAAAACCACCGCGCGCTCCGCTACTTTCTCCTGTCTCAATGTCGTAAAATACCTCTTGGCAGCTGTTCGTCCGCGAAAGACAAACCGACAACTTTTCCAATGTTTCCAGTGTTCGGCTGTATATCCCTTCGACGAGAATTACGAGAGAAGTTTCAGCGGAGACTTAAGGCTGGCGCGATCGAGCACACAGATTCGATTTTATGCCTTCCTTTGTTTTTCTTTTTTTCTTCTCTCTTTACCTTTACCTTAATCGTTTTCAATAAAAAGAATGACCGAGGAGACGTTATATCGATCGCGCCTTTTTGCGAAGCCACGGCGAATTTTAATCGTCGAACGCGGCGGAACGAGACAACCGAGAAACGAACGCGAAGCGGACGGGACGTGCTTCGAATCTGAATGTACTTGACGTATAGTCTGTCTCGTGTCTCAACGTGCATGCTACCTGCCTCTCTCTTGTCTGTCGATGTCAATGTCGATGTCGTTGGTTGGATCTTCTCTTATCACGCGTGAGATCTTCGAGGATCACTCGACCAAAGATAGAGTTCAAACTAGAACGTGTATTTTGCTACCTGAGCCGAACGCTGACGAAGAAAGTACAGAAGATTATAGTGCGACATATCGCGATGATTTTCGAAGATCCGCAGACTCGCATCCTTTCTCTCTGTAACCGATCGATCCACTAGATGGAAACGCTTTAAAAGTACCTAGAACGATTTTACCCTAATCCTCCTTGTTCCTTCAAACTGCGCCCATTTCCTCCGCGTCCAGGCATCCTGAACCGACCGAATTCAACAGAAATAATAACCTGTCTCGCATATTCTAATCCTCCTGCGCGATCTACTTGATATACACTTGAAGTCAATTACTCGATTATTAACCCAAAGATGTATACATTATATTATCTATATTGATTCTAGAGAATATATATGCTCGTACGTTCTTTTCGTTTTTTTTTCTCTTTCTTGTGGCGAATTTTCCATACAAACGTGAACACACCAAGTTAAATAACCAGTTGATGGAAAGCACGATTTCGGTGTAGAAGAAGACGGGTTTCAGCGTAGCTCGAAGCGAAATGTTTTTAGAGACAGACCGTTCTTATGATTACGATTAACAGGAGAAAAAATAATTAATTGGACATCGAGTTAACCAGACAACTTCGAACGACAGCAGTGTATAGCTCATAGACTGTTTTCCTATTCCCCACGCTCTCTTTAACTATTTCTGTACCTCCCTCCCTCTCTCTTTCTCCCTTGCTCTTACTATTCTGCTCTCATCTTTTGATCGTAACAAGTTTTCTCTCCGCCTGTCGTCTCATAGCCCCTTTGCTCGATGTATCTCCTACGCTACGCTCGATTGTTCTCTTTGAAGTCACGACTACTTAATGCATGTGTCACGTAAAAACGAACAAATAAAACGAATACAAAAAAAAAACATAATATCTTACTGTCGTAACCGTTACTGTTGATTAATGTCGTGTGTCGTTGTTGTTTCTCGATGTGATCAACATAAAACGTTGTTCGATGTACTGTCTAGTCAATGTTCACGCTTTAGTCTCAGTAGTTCGTCTTTTTTCCTTTCTTCTCCCTTATACGTACATATTGCGTTACACGTTGTTCAAGCTTTCTGTGTAAAATTCAACGATCGATTAAAAGCTTTCTGTGCCATTTAATTCGATGTAGTTTAATTTAAGCGTAAGCAATGCTTAGCACACTGTGTCAAAGATAATTTTCTGTTCGGTTGCCGTACGTGAAATTGCTGATTTCATTGGTAGCGGCTGAAAGTGTCGTTAAGTAATTTTGACGTTTATATATGATTCATATGATACGTTATATTTATATGATATATCATACGTGATATTTGTTATTCAATTTTAAATTTCACGCTAATTAAATGCAACACGATACTTTGTCGAAGACAGATCGTGTGTCAAATCGAAATTCGAGTGCGTTCTTTGTAAAACTTCAAACTTCTTGATTTAGATCGTTAAATATAAATATAACGAATGAACCGAAATATTCTCAACGATGATCGGTTAATGATTTTAATTGCCATAATCATAGCTTCCTTTTAGAATACGTATTCCTTCCCGAATACGTTTAATCGTAATACCATTAATATTATTTTCAACGTTAAGAAATCGGCCATTTCACTTGAAACGACTTAGTGTAAGTTCCTATAAAACTTTCAATTTATATTTCAAACTTTCGTTTGCGAGAGATCTTCGCGTATTCTTGTATTCGATAATCCGTGAAATTTGCTTCAGGCCATTTACCGACGATTTTTCACCAGCGTAAACGTTCATCCACCAGTTGTCGCGTGTATGCGTGCAAAACACGAACACAAGTTGTTGAAACGCGATAGACGAAAAGGTACAGTTCCCCTCGAAAGGTAAAATTCGACGGTGTTCGAAACCAACGAGACAAGAGTAATCCGGAGATATGCTAAAACATAATCTACGCGTGACAATCTTCTGTGATTCTCGCTATATCGAAGGAAAAATAACGCGGTCCGAGAAATAAAAAGGAAATAAGAACGGAGAATGGATTTTCAGAGAAATAGAAAATGTATCAGTCGCGTGAATACTCTCCAGACTTTCTCTTGTTCTTTGATTCTTTTGATCTTTTCCATTGGTACGGAACTGTTGATCTTCGATCTCCTTAATTCCCTTTAACGAGTGTTTTTCCACTTCCACTTTGCACACGCACCTAACATCGCACGATTCTAGGCGATTTATCGCTCTATCCTTCGCATCCTTTACCTGAAGCCACCCTAAGCCTGTAAAGCGGCACGTGGCAAGTGATATAAACGAATACTTAAATCTACTTAATTCGTGTTTCATAGACGATCGTAATCGTGAAGATAAAAAAAAATGAACAAAGGATTGAATAAAAAAAGAAAAAAAAAAGAGAATCTAGCGACTCGTGTCTGTTTTCGACGTGACACCCTCGAACGTAGCGTTCTATCAAAGAGACGGATGAGCCAACGAAAGTTGCTGGTAATTGACGATCTCGGTAAATCTGACTGTAATTAGAAAGTATACTATCGTAGTACTCGCTAGCAAAGTACAACTGATCCGTCGAAACGAGACACGCGTGCAATTATTATGTAAAAGATAGTTGACGAACCTTTCTTAGGTACTTAATTATCGGGCGAGTGTTTCAAGCAGGACAAACCGAAGAAATCAGAAAGAATGTAACGCGTTAGGTACGATATGCGCCGAAACGTTTAAGATTATACGACAAATGTAACGTTCTTTTCTCTATGTACATAGTCTCGCGTATAACCTAGACCTGCGTTTAGTATAACCGAGAAAGTTTTCGTGATGGTTTCGTTCTACGTAACCGCGTCAAGCGAAAAGGATGAACGGAAGACGAGATGTTAACCGTGTCTCCTGGAAGCTCGGGACACCGTTCGCGTCCCAATTTTCCAATTCGAGCGTCCGATTTTTGCTCGAGCCAGGGAAATCCGTAAGGAAGCAGAAGGCGAGGACGGAAGGTGTGTCCCGAAGTTCGAGGACGGATTAATACCGGAGATTAATACCGGCGTAACTCGCGAGGAAGAACCGACTTGACTTATTCAGAGACAACGACACAACGCATTATAAAGTAATAATGATAACTTATCGTTAAATCAACGTACTATTGTTATGATCTCTTACATTATGACGATGATCTCGACGACGAGACGATTGCATAATGTAAAACGCGTTCGCACGTGTGTTTTTTCAATGCGTTCACAAGAAACAAAGTACGAACTAAGCGAGAGAAAATACCGTTCAAACACACGTAACACCTACACACGGAGAAACGTTCGAAAAGAAAAAAAGAGGTAAATAAATAAAGATAGAAGGTAAGACAGGAGAAAATCACGATGTTAAGTAAGTAGTCGTTAGCTTTGTATACAAGGGAGTGCAGAACAAAGACGAAGACGACGTTAAAGGGAAAGAGAGAGGGAGAGCTTCGATAATTGGAGAGTCCCGAGGCGAAAAGATACACACGAAAAACGGTACTTTTCAGCAGCTGCCATTCGACGAGAGGTTCGTGTACCACCATCTTCGAGCGGACTTGTGCGATTTTTTGGATAGGGATTCCGTGAACACGGTACTGGCTGTCGCTCGATCCTGCAAAACTCCATTATATTACACGCTAATCGCCAAAGGATGGTCTCGTCGCATAGAAAGCGACATTCTCTCCGACGCTAAATCCAATTTACTTTACACAGATGCTATAAATTCTTGTTGGCAAAAAATTTCAAACCGTTTCCATGTTACCGGCGGCGAGCGTGTGAATAATTTAGACAAAGCGACTCCCGACTCAAATTGAATGTTGGTGTCGCTCGAGACCTAAGGTCGTTCGAAATTTCCTTTAAAAATGGAGATAAAAATGCGAATCGGCTGACTCGCTCTAGGAACGAGCGCACGACGCAAAAAAAAAAAGAGGCTGCAATAAGCGCGTATTCTATTTTTCGATCGTTATTCCCGGCGATTCGAGTAACAGCTTGTTTGACCGTGTCGCGACATCGCGACGTGTACGTAGATCACACCTGTACCGTGCCCGGTATCTTCGTAAATTCGTTGAATCGAGAAGCAATACTATAGATGCCTATAATTACTAATGTTATACGTTTCTTATACAACAACAAAATAAAAAAAAAAAGAGGAAGTTGAAAAAGGATTAGAGAAAAACTCGCGTACACACGCACATCAGACACTGTATATGTATTTAACAATCAGAGTTACACAAGCACACCGCGCGATAACGAAACGAAAAGGACGGAAACATCGATGCCCATCTCGTCGATGTTTCTTCTTACGATCGGCGCGAAAAAATAGAAAAAATGAAAAAAAAATCCAAAAAAAGAAGGTATGAAAATATGTTACTCTCAACCTCGAACTCGAAACTCTGTAATTGCGACGCGTACGTTCACACATCGATCTCTGTGTAATTTTATATTTCGACGTTCGAAGATGCGAAGCACTTTAGCTGCATGCAACGACCAATAATTATCGTAATCGTTAATCGTGTAGAGTTGCACCGAAAATAGAGGAACGATGTAAAAGGAACGGTTAAACGTGGTGGAAAGAAGGGAATAAAATAAAGAGAAAATTGAGAGGAAGGAGAAGGGCATATGGAGTCGTTCGAAATGCCCAAAAATCGCACGAAGCTTGCTCGGCAGATAAGAAAAGCGGGTTCGCGGAGAACGTACGATGAAGAATAGCATCGAAGAGGGGAATAGTAAAAGATCTCTTGTATGAGTTATAGAACGCTTAGTGGCTGAATCACTGGAACACGAATGGGTTGATTGTTAAGAATGAAATATTAATGTAACATGCGAAGAAGAGAATAGGTAACGCCGGATGGTGGATGATGATGATAATATTATATATTGTTGTTAGATCATGTATAATATATATACACATAAACATTGATATAAAAATAAAGTAACCTAGATATTAAGCGACCACTTATTCACACGTTACATAAACACATACGTACACGTTCCCTGTGCACATGAAAGTTAACCGTTTATTTAGCGAATTAAACGACTACGCAAAAAAGAAAAACGCAAGATTTTTTTTAAATCGTTTCTTTTGCCATTTCGATAAACCGTCTCGGCATTTTATTTCCTATGTGATAATCGAAATCTTTCTTTCACCACGGAGATTTCTTCGAAGGTTAACGTACAGTACCGAATAATTATTCGAACGATACATCCTTCGTGTTTCGTTTAATTTCAATTACGAGCGTTTTTCTATTTTTATCTACGATTATTTATAGAAACGTTGAACGCTATTCTATTACATTATTGACTAAAAATTGTGCGTTAAATTTAAATTGTTCAAGAAACTTTAAACTCCGAAAGGATTTAAATTGTTAAATTTCGATTTGAAATTGAAAACTTCAAAAGTAAATTAAAAGATTTTTATTCGAATTCTTAAATTAAAGAAAGATTAGAATTATTCCACTAAGTAATAATTCGAATAATTATGACGGATAACGTACATACACGGAAAATCGATCTCGGAGATTGATGAGTAGGCGTGTGAAATTTTCAAATAGGTAAAACGTTTGCCCGTGCCAAATAAAAGGTTAATAGAGGTGCGAACACAGATCACAGGCATCGTTCACACACATGCAGGAACACGACACGATACGACACGACAGGACACACGATTTCGTAGCTGTACCCGTGAGCATCCCCCGTCAAACCAATCCCTGGGCATGGTCTCGGCTCTTGGTTACGCGTAAAAAATGCATAGAGTCCTATACTCTCTATTCGTCCCTCCTCTTGACCCTTGAAACGACGACAGAAGAAAAGAAAAGGAGTCGAGGCTTCTTTAGGTCGCGTCACTCGTCGATCTTTCTTCTCGATAGAAAGGAAAGAAAATTTCAAGCATCAAATAGGAGGCGACTGCCACGAATCAGAGTCGAAAGCTTGTACGAAACGAGAAACGAAGCGGGGATAAAATCAAAAAGGAGAAAAGAGATGGATAATCGAGCTTTCCTCTTCCTACGTTGTACGAGAGATTCACGGCGTTTCTTTTGGCTTTCACGGCGGAAGAGATGAAACACAAATTGCGAGAAAAACAAACGAGGATTAACAAAAAGAAAAAAAAGTAAAAAAAAATGATAAAGCATGAAGACGATTTTTAGGGGCGCGCCTCATCGTTATAGCTCTTAATACGATAGTAATATTACGAGTAATAAACAAAAGTGAATTAATCAGAATATGCGTTTATGTTATTTAGTTCTAAAAAAAATGAAAAAAATGTAATAAAAGTCAATCGTGTTACCAACCCGATCGTCTATTTATTTATTAATCCTCCTTTATCAACGACATCTTTCCTTACAAAGTATTCCAACACTTGCAAACATTTTTTAGTAACATATTATGTGTCTCGCGTGAAACATTTTTCTGAAATTTTATTAGAACCACATTAGAATTAAACCCAAATTTTTAACGTTTTTCGGTTTTTAAGTAAATTAAGAGTATTTATGTTCATATATATTTACACGGAGATCTATTGATGTACAGTGGCAAAAGCGTTTCAAATTTAATACAGAACATTGTACAGAAACTGCGAGCTTATCCTGCCTATCAATTAACAAAACGGTGATTAGCAAGCTGGTTGCGATGATTATTATCTTGTAACTTCCACGTACATTTTCGAACCGATTTCTTTCAACAGTATAATCGCGACAATCCTATTACGTATCTCTCGCCACAGCAACAGTGAAGTTTCAAAATATGTTATACAATACACGTAAAAGTTTCCTACGAAGAGTGTTCGAACACTTTCATGAACGTATATTACACTTTAAAACGCTTAGTTCCATTTATCACGATGACGTAGGAATTTCAACAATCAACCGGTACATTCCGCTGTGCGTGCAGTTCGCGCTACTCCCAATTTCTTTTTACACAATTCGTAGCGATTTCGAAAGCGTTCAAACGTGCTACTTGTCAATCGATGCCATTTATTATTTTCCAAACAATCGTTCTTCAGTACGAATAAAAACCTTCCCGCGAAACGTTCCAAACGAACCAAAACAGTTTTTCAAGTACGAAATGGAAAGTTTCCTGAATTGATTCGAGTGGCAACTAAATCGATCGACAAAATGAAATATTTCAAGCAGAGCCTCTTCTTGTTCTTATTCGTTCTGTATGATCTCGTAATCGGTTCTCTAACCGAGAAGATAACGTTGAACGTCAACTTGAAAGAACCCATCGCTGTAACCGATGAGAAGTTCCTCAGTCTTACCATTGATCCAGTAACCCTATTAGCCGGGAATGCGCTAAGGTACGTACGTTGAATTTATAACGCTCTCATATCGGCTTTTTACGGTAGCTAACCTTGTTCCATGATAAATGCGGTTATCCTGCTTCGTGACTGAATTTAGAAGATTTTGAAAGCGGCGTCGAATATAAATTCAAACTTAATGATGAATATTTCGCGCGCGATAACGACGCAATCTCGCGAAGAAAAAAGAAAAGAAACGACCGCGAAACAATTCGAGATCAATTTAAAACCAATCAATAGAATGCCAGGCACCGATAGCTCGTAGAAAAAACTTTCGAAATAACTGTACACGTATAACCTTTGAACGAAACGCAAATCCAATCTAGCTTCGACGAAATGAAGCGTGTACGTGTTTTAATTTAAATTTCAACCACCGCCGTCTCTTGCCAGTACTGGTGTTATCGATCCTCGAAGAAATCGAAGTAGCGCGGAAACTACGTGAAAATCTTATAAAATCTCTGATAAAATCTTGTACGATTGAGAGAAGACACGCTTATGCGTGCCGAGTTATTCACAAGTATACTCACAAGACTCACGTCCGAGGACTACAGGGGAAGAGGCTGATGAATCACATTTTTCACTTCTTACTGGACAGAAGCTTTAACGTTCGATGCATTCAATCAAACTAATCTTGTATTACCGAAATTGTCTTTCCATTTGATCTTGGAGCTGGACGTGTATTTTTCTACTCTCTTGATAATTTAAAAAATATTCCTTGTCATAATATGAAAATATTGAAAAATATTGAAATATCGTTTGTTTTAAGAATTATGTCTTTGGTTGCACCTTCCTTCAATGGAAACTGGCTCTCTCCATTTCTAGCTATTTTATATCAAAATATTCCTTTCGCGTATCGTGCTTTTTTCTCTGTGATCCTCGCGTGGACACTTTGCCTGATTTATATCAACAATATACGAATGTTAATGGAATATACGGTTTAATGGGCTAAAGTAACGATCAAAAGGAATAATTGCTATCTCTTTGTACAGAACTAACTGATACATGTGATGCAAAACTTAAATTATTCATTTAAAACCTTGTCGATACAGTACTCAAATTAAATACACGATTCTTCCAAGTTTCAACCCTTTGTCACAGTGTAATTAATTTATCAATAAAATGACGTAATGTTCAGTATGTATCATTTAAAAGACAGGTTTAATAAATATATAAATATATATTTCTAATTTTACAACTAGATTAAATTCTGTCAAAGAGAAGCAAGCGTTCGTATTCTCAAGTACGTAGTGTGTATATCTAGGACCAGATTGCCTAACATTATCGTATCTTTAATATGCGAATCGTGGTCGTTGCAATTTCAGCACGGATTTCGAGAGAAGCATAAACATGGCTAAAGCCTTAGGTCCTGCATATTTACGATTCGCCGGACCATATTCTCTTGCCTACTTTGGCGATAAGAATTCTCAGGACAAAGAGGATAACAGAAAAACAATACTATCTGGTGAGCTCAATCGTCATCTCTTTAATCCTTTCAACTTATTTAAATAAACCATATACTAACTAATTAAACCGTAAATGTATCTATTTTCTGTAACACCAATTTCAAGTCTTCTTTACACAAACATCAGAGAAAACTCTATTTCCATTATTTTAATAATTAAGATATCAAAGAAACATTTTTCTGACAATTCGAAAGATACTCGGTTAGCAAAAGAAATATTTATATCCTATATTATAAAATCGAGTCAAAATACAATAGACGAACGTTGGCTGACTTACGGACGGAAATGTACATAATCCACTCAGTTCGCCAGTTAGTAGATTCTCCTTCCATATACATTCTACTAACTTGACTACGATACAGCCGATATACGGACCATTATCATGGTTAATTTAGGCAGTAATGTAACGGACGGCGGCCTACAAAGGATCCATATGCATCCGTTCACTTCAAAGTTACATTAACAACGAAACGCCTGCCACACATCTTCCTCGGCCAATTTCGCCGCCGATACAACACCGTGGTCAGCCAGTTGCAGAAACTGCCTGAATTAACCTAAACAATGCTTCGTGCACCAGTGCGCGTCCATACACGATACAGACGCGACGTGTTTTGCGAAGAGAAACGAGAAGGTTTACGTACCATAGTTAGACACACATGCATACCATCAACATTCCATCTCGAACTGTAGACACCTGTTTCGTTCGCGGTTACCTCGCGTTACCTCAGCCACTCTCGCTGATTACGTGCAAACCTTACACGCCTGTACCAAGGTGCAAACGTTAGCCACCTAACGAGCTTAGTAATTTAACATTCGCTGCGTGACTCTACGACGTAATCCGATCCGACGCGGTACCAAACTCCGTGTCTTCCACCTGAACCAAATTTCAACCTTTGTGTAGCCTATTTATCATACCTAGCGTACATTCGATGGCGCAAATGAATAGGTCGATCGAAAGAGAAGTTGTAATTGGAAAAGCGTGGAATTCTAAGAAACTTTGAACCTTCTTTAGTTAGGTTGTCTATTGATACAGCGGCTTATACCAGGACCAATTAATTGTACCGTGTAATGTAAGTATCACTTCGTTTTATATTAAATATCGTGTATTAAATTGTTTCGAGATAATTTGTTCCAAGTCTACGCAAAACGAAAAATACAAGTGTAAAGATATAATATACAGAATTAATTTATTTAATTTTTCAGTATATTTTGCTAGCTCGTGACTACCATAGTAAAGTAATTTTAAACAATACTTTTGCTCTTAGAAATAATTATAGGAACTGAACTTGTAACGAATAAGTAATTAATCGTACTGGACTAGAAATCAATCTTGTAAACGATAAGAAACACGATGCGATCTCATTTCCTATAACATTCTGATTTTATTCCTAAGGACTGTTTGTTATGGTGTTCGTTCCTCGTAGAACCGTTCGCTGTGACATACTATATCATATTCTACGTAAAACCATCACCGTATTCTGTTCTATCAATGACGTTTCGTGATCGTAGAGTCAGATTGGGTTGCAACCCATCAGTGGGCAGGAAAGGCAGGATTGGATGTGATCGACTGCATTTCGCCAGACATTCGACGAAAGGAATCGGAGGAATCCGAAGATCCGGAAGAAATAATTTCTTTTAGCGACCATATGCATTTTAACGCCAGCTGGCAACTAGGATATGGTAAATTAATTCAGCCAGTCGAAACGTTCGAGCCAGAATCAGAAGTTACATTCGTCAATTCCAGAAGTTTCTTCGTTAAAAATTAAACGAATCGCTTGCGTAACAAATTTGAGAAATTTACGAACGATGGAGTTGATCAGTTTGACTTTTGACAGACTCGTTCGTTCAACCATGGAAAGGAGGAGATCTACTTTAAGCTCGATTTTCCAGAATGCCAAATTAGATGCGATTTATCAGCCGATGATTTAGGAAGGCAGACGATGGCTTTGCGAAAAGTACTCGACGAATTTCCTAGATATTCGAACAGTATCGTTACTGGCCCCGATGTCGTGGCTTATAACACCGATAAACAACGAAAATATCTTCGAGATTACTTCAGCGTCGCCGCGCCTGCACTTTCGGCGATCACCTGGCATCCGTAAATTTCTTATCGTTACAGACTTAATAAAATTTCCTGCGCATCGTTTCACGTGGAAATATTAAATCGATACTATTTTAAATTGATTGCAGCGTGTTTGCCAGCATCACTTT